TTTCCAACGATACCTCATTTATTATATTCTGACAAGCTAATTTTCCTACAGGTAAGTTTAAGTGGCGCCGCACCTCGAAAATGCAAAATTTGAAGCTACAGAAAACTGCGCGAGGAAAAAAAATTAAAACTATGATTTTCTTACTCAACAAACACCTACTATTCGAAAAAAAATGTTTTGTTCGATTGGCAAAGAAAAGTTTTTAATTTGTAAACCTGTGTATTTGTCTCAAATTGATGAAATTCAGTCGATTGTTTTTAATCGATAGGAGATGTTCTAAGGAATATAAAAAATATAGTTTTGTTGATACAAAATAAATTTGTTAAAAAATATTTAATAATAGACAATGAAATGTTTTTAAAAATAAAACGCATTTGAACAAAAAACTTGGGCGATCTGTACTCAGTGTATACTTTAAGGGTTAAAATAATTATCTATGATGAATAATTGAATATTTGATTTAAATAAATATGTAGTTATTTCAAAAAAATTATCTTATTGATCCAAATTAATATTTGTATTAAAAGAACGTGAATTATTAAATCAAGCAATTTTTATAATTTTCTGTAACGTTGATTATTTTTTACATTACATCGATGTACCCTTTCTCCCACGTATTAATAACATTAGGATACAAATTAAGCCAACAAATTTTTTCCATTTTTCATCGAATTTTAAGGGAACTTTCCTCTTAATTGCTATGTAAATATAGAAAATAATATTAACCCTACATAAAAAAGAATAGTATAAGCAATAAAAAACAACGCGGTGAATATAAAGTTATTTTTTAAATAATTAATAAAAATAAAACAAATTTTAGTTTTAACTATACATGTGACATAATCTAAGAAAATTGGATTTAAGAACAGAAGGAAACAAAAAATTTTTAAAACAAAATGAACAAAAACAAAATTTAACTTCAAATTATAAAATGTACTTGTGATTTTTTACAAATAAAATTTGTCTTAAAGAACAGATAAGAAAAATACAAATAAGAACAAAATTTTAGTGTCAAATATACTCGCGACTTAACCTACATAAAAATTTTCTTCTACATAGAAAAAGTAAAAAAAAATGTTTTATAAAAAATAACATTAAACTATCAATAACTACATATAATAATTGAAAAAGATTAATGGTAAGCTAAAAGCCTACAAATGTTTGTGTGCATTCATTAAAAATTACAGAAATGATAAATGGTCATATAAATATCTTACCCATATGTATACATACATATATGCAAATGTTCGTGCACGTCACTCATAAATATCGCGTAGACAAATTTTCTCTTACACATTTTGACGGATTTTGATAAAAGTTTGTAGGTGTATTAAGGTCACAAATACCTAAAATCAGACAGAAGGATTTTCAAAAATATCTAAAAATAAAATTTTGTTAGCAATTTTTTAATTTTTGAAAAAATTTATTTTTGTATTTTTTGAAATAACTTTTTTCTTTATTAAAATTTTTATTAATTCTTGTCAAAACTATATTCCTGGCATGAAAACGATTCGATTTATTCATATTAAGTATATATTTTATCAATATTTATAAAATTAATCAATATTTTTATTTTTAACAAATATTTCAAATTTTGTATTTTTAAAATTTTACCTTAATACTTTAAAATAATGATTCTATACCTAATAAAAAATTAAGCAATTGGTATTTATTATATAGAGGAAGCTAAATGATCATGAAATGAGCAACTTGTTTAAACTTTTTCAGTGAATTTTTGAATGGTCGCCAAAATTTTATTTTCCTTAGCAATATGGAATCTCAGGAGAGAAACCAGGAGACTCTTTAAGCGTGCCAAGAAAAGGCGCACGACTAATGGTTGGTCTGATTTTACGAAAATGAGAGACGACTATAGGTATGAAGTAAGGAAAGCAAAACAAGACAGTTGGAATGCTTTCTGCTCTAGCATCGAAAAAGGGAAAGAGGCGGCCAGATTGGATAAGCTGCTCGCTAAGAACCCTGATGCAATTCTGGGCACTTTAATGTTGCCGGACGGGACTTTCTCTGAGTCGGACGATGGAACCTTGGCTTGCCTGGTCCAGGAACACTTCCCGGGCTTTTCGAGGTCTGGGGAGGGCGGATCCGATCCTGAGCCGCCAACAAACCTTCCGCAGGCTGATTACCGGTCTCGGAGGCAGTTGGCTAACAGGATTGTGACTGCCGAGAGGATCAGATGGGCCACGGAATCTTTCAGCCCTTACAAGTCTCCGGGTCCTGATGGCGTCTACCCTGTCCTCTTGCAAAGAGCGATATATGAGGCTGTTGGACCATTGGTAAGACTTGCTAGGGCGAGTCTGACTCTGGGATATGTCCCAGTAGCGTGGAGGGGTACAAAAGTTGTATTCATACCTAAAGCGGGCAAGAACGGTTATACCTCACCGAAGGATTTCCGTCCTATTAGCCTTACATCCTTTATCCTAAAATTAGTTGAAAGGTTGGTGGATAGATATATTCGCAGTGAGATTTTGGAGCGGTTCCCGCTACAAAAGGATCAATATGCGTATAGAGCGGGATGCTCTACGGAAACAGCTCTGGCTAGAGCAGTAGACCTAATTGATGGGCAACTGCAGAATCAGGGCTTTGCTGTGGGTGTTTTTATGGACATAGAAGGAGCTTTTAGTCAGGCCTCTCCGGAATCCATAAAAAGAGCTATGACAGCTTTTAATATTCCTACAGGAGTGGTTGATTGGACCTGTCATATGTTAAAAAACAGGAACCTCTTATCAACTAAAGGAGACTCAGTCCTGAAAGGGACAGTCAACTCTGGATGCCCCCAAGGAGGGGTTCTTTCACCCTTGCTCTGGTCCTTGGTACCAGAGCAAGTGGATGAACTACTGAGAATTCTGACCGAAGCAGGATACCATGTAATTGGTTATGCGGATGACATTTTGTTAATCGTTCGCGGTCCCCACCTTGAAGTTATACTCGAAGTGGCCCAAAAAGCGTTAAACCTGGTAGATAAATGGTGTGAGAAGGTGGGTTTATCTGTAAATCCGGGGAAAACGGAAGCGGTTATCTTTACCAGACGGTACAAGTGGAAAGCCTCGTGCTCACTTACGCTGTCCGGAAAAGAGATCAAATACACAGAGCAGGCAAAATATCTAGGAGTAATCCTGGATAGCAAACTGCTCTGGAAAAAGCATTTAGAGGAAAAATGTAAGAAACTTACAGCTGCTCTTTGGCAATGTAGAAGGGCCATTGGTGGTAGCTGGGGTCTCAAACCGGATACACTATTGTGGATCTATGAAGCAATTCTGCTCCCTAGGCTGACCTATGCTTGTGTGGTCTGGTGGGGTAGAGTTGAGCTAAAAACAGCACAAACAGAATTGGAAAGGGTAAATGGGATGGTACTTAGAGGCATAACGGGGGCGGTGCGTACAACTCTCACTGCTGCCCTTGGTGCCCTCTTGGGGCTAGAACCCTTACACCTTACAATTAAAGCAGCGGCGGTTAAGGCTGCCCTGCGGTTGAGTGGTCCTGTGGGCTGCAGGGAGGTGGGCAGATGGCGTCTCCCAAAGAAATTGGTGAGAATCCCCCTTCTAAGTATGATTAGGGACAGAACTGTCCCTTTGTATCTCTTCGACAAAAAGTATAGGATTAATATACCTAGTAGAGAAGATTGGATAAATGGACTGACAAGTATTCCAGCTGACGGTGAAGTCTGGTACACAGATGGATCAAAAGGCGGGAATGGAGTCGGTGCAGGAATCTATCATGTAACCTCCCAAGTGGGACACTCCTTTAAGTTAGGGACCACTGTTACTGTGTTACAAGCCGAAATTGTGGCAATATTTTATGGTGCTGTTGAAGCCTTGAAAAATTGTCACAACAAAGATATTTTTATCCTTTCGGATAGCAAGGCGGCCATTTTCTCCTTGAAACGATACGTATCAACATCACGGCTGGTCGGTGATTGTCATGAATCACTTAACAAACTAGCTGAAACGAACCGCGTTACCCTCCTGTGGATCCCTGGTCACAGTGGATATGCGGGAAACGATAGGGCGGATGAGCTAGCCAAAGAAGGGGCTAGAAAACAACTTATTGGACCTGAACCTCCCATTGGTGTTTCCAACAAATGCTTGACACTGGAAATTAAACAGTGGATAGCTGCGGAACACCAAAGGGAATGGCAGGTAACTAAGGGCTGTAGACAAGCCAAGGTACTCATGGGAAGTAGTATTAACCCTATGAGGAAAGCGGAATTCCGCAAATTAAATAGAAAAGAGGCAAAGATCATAACGGGGCTATTAACTGGCCATGGCGATCTGCGCTATCATAGGCACAAAATGGGGATCCTAGATGACCCGAAGTGCCGTAGGTGTGGAGAGGAATATGAAACCCCGATACACATCTTGTGTCACTGCCCTGCACTTGTGAAGGAGCGGGAACACATTACGGGCTACTTCTTTCTGGGGGAGACCGTTATCGCTACCAAAAACCTGGCCGAAGTCCTCCTGTTGTGGAAAGGACTTCGGATATAGGGGTGGTTATGGGGAACGTAAAGGGATTACCCAAGCGTTAGTGGCGTTGACCTGCAAGGTCCTAGGTCCACAACCCTCTTCTTAATAATAATAATAATAATAATAATAATAATAGCAATATGGAAAAATCTTGTTGTTTAAAAGTTGGATGGCCACCGTAGGGCCCCTACCCTACATAAATCAAGAAATCAAAAATTGTAATTTATTGCATTTAATTCAAGTACTAGGGTACGCATCGGATTTCTGATTTTAGGATTATATCACCAAAAATGGATTTGAAATCTTTTATGGCGAAGCCTACTGATGGTACATTCGCATTAATTATCAAAATGCTCATATGACACCGGATTACGAGTGCAGTGTTAGATTTGAAATTCGTGAAATTTTCATGAAAATAAAAAGTATTCTTTAAACAAAATAAAAAGTTTATTTTTTAATAAATTGTTTATAAACAGTTTACTTTTTTAATGTTTTAGGCCTTTTTAAAATTATAAAAAATACTGATTTCGAGTTTCTTATTATTATTTCTTAACAGTAATGCTATTTTTCTTAAATAATGTAATATTTCAAGAAAATTTCTCTTAAACATTTAAACAAATCCTAAAAAGGAACCAGTTTTCAAAACTAGATAAATCTGTTTTGTTATTTCGAGAAATTAATTATTTCCATGTAATACACTCCTTCCATTTTACATTTTGAACATAGACTTGATGAGTTGTAATCACCATGTATTAAGAGGTGAATTAAATTAAAATGTTAAATTAGGATATAGAGATTTCGCATCGAGATTGTGGTAAATTTTTTAATTTATTGAACCATATATATTTCATTTTATGGATATTATTTCATTGAAAAACGCGTTTGCATTCTGTAACTACTCTTCGACTTCCTCGTGGGCAAGCCTTTGATGGAGCGGTTATAATTCCACCGGCACCCGCACTACCAGGTGGTTGATAAAGGCAATCCAGTTTAAATGTTTTTTCTGTTACTGACAATCGAGTATAATCATCAGAACAAGGATATCCATATTTATAGACTTTATGACATTTCCCTTTGAAGGGAACAAGACCATCTTCGTGACACGGATTTACTTCACATCTCGGCTCTTTGTGACCTGGAGGTAGAACATAGTAACTTCCTGGAGAGCATGTTCCCTGTCTGTAGGCCTGCTGACATGTATTATATTTTGCTGAATAAATAAAACTTGATTTACATTTGCAAATGTAATGTGTATGTTCATCATTTGTTGGCATCAGTAAGGAATCCTTTTGACAGGATTTGGATGTTTTCTGAAATATAATTATTATTTATACAGTATTGCTATAATTTTGCGGATATTGACGTTTTTTGTAATCAAGAATACTAATTTCAAATTTAAAACGTTATTTATTTTAGAGGATTGAAAGAAATTTTAAAAAATTGCAAAAATTAAAATTTATTGTTACAAATAAAAATAACGAATAATTTTATATATATATATACTAGGGGGGATTCGCCCCCCTGCGCGCTTCGCGCGCCAACCCCCCCACCTCTATTTTTATATTTATTTTAATTTTTATAAATTTAAAGTAATTTTTTCTTAATATGAATGCATCTTAATAAATTGCATACAATACATATGGGACATTCCACGTCAACACAGACAGAGCTCTAAACAAAAATTGCTTCGATGGATTTAAACGTTCTAGGGCTTAAAAGATTTCTACGTTCATGTACTTTAAGATGACGATGGGCGTTTTTTGCAAAATTCCATTTCCGATGCCAATAGAACTGTCAAAAGTCAAAAGGTCCAAAAATCTCAAAATACTTTTATGAATTAAAAGCAAAAAACGAGGTAAATTATTCTGTAACTTATTCTTTATAAGTTTTTAGGGTTCCCGAATATAAATCTAAAGTTTTTTTTTAAAAATCCAAAATGGCGAATTCAATATGGCGGACAAAATTCAAATTTGATCAGATTCGATGCAAACTTGTTACACGGGGGTTTTTAGGGTCGCTGATTACGAATCTGAAGTCATTTAAAAAAAATTCAAAATGGCGGATCCAATATGGCGGAAAAAATTTTCAAATTTGATCCGATTCCCTTAAAACGTGTTACTCGGGGGCTTTTGGGGTCGCAGATCATGAATATGAAGTTACTTTGTGTTTGAGACTTCAAATTCATAATCAGATACGCTAAAAACCACCGAGTAACACTTTTTAATTAAATCTGATCAAATTAAAAAATTTGATCCGACATTTTGAATTTCTACAAAGTAACTTCATATTCATAATCTGCGACCCCAAAAGCCCCCGAGTAACACGTTTTAAGGGAATCGGATCAAATTTGAAAATTTTTTCCACCATATTGGATCCGCCATTTTGAATTTTTAAAAAGTGACTTCAGATTCGTAATCAGCGACCCTAAAAACCCCCGAGTAACAAGTTTTAATCGAATCTGATCAAATTTGAATTTTGTCCGCCATATTGAATTCGCCATTTTGGATTTTTAAAAAAAAACTTTAGATTCATATTCGGGAACCCTAAAAACTGATAAAGAATGAGTTACAGAATAATTTACCTCGTTTTTTGCTTTTAATTCATAAAAGTATTTTGAGATTTTTGGACCTTTTGACTTTTGACAGTTCTATTGGCATCGGAAATGGAATTTTGCAAAAAACGCCCATCGGCATCTTAAATAACATGAACGTAGAAATCTTTTAAGCCCTAGAACGTTTAAATCCATCAAAGCAATTTTTGTTTAGAGCTCTGTCCGTGTTGACGTGGAATGTCCCATATATATTGATAAAAAATGTTTTCACCCAGTTTGTTATCTGCAATTCATGAATGTACATTTGAATAATCATATCAAATGGTCAAACATATCCTTGGCGTCAAACCTGTTGCTTTGTATGTTTCGATCGCAGTAAGTAAAATATAAAAAATAATCATTTAAAATATTGTCACTTTTTCATGTAGGTATTAGAAAACATTAACGTAAACAAATAATTCACTAGGTAAATGTTAACAAATTATTGGAATTAATTAAGAATTATTTTTTTTAATTTGTCGGCAACGACTTTAGTCGAAATATAATGGAATGACTTATGTAGAATATTGTTTTTTATTCTTTGATGGTTAATAACATAATAAAATAAATTTTCAGCTTCTGATTTTAATAATAACATTCAACTAAAGTTAAATAAGAGAAAAATGAAATTGAGCATTAATTTTATAGGAATATTAAAATAAAGATTACTTTTCTAGAGTGTTTGCTAAGAAATTGGAATTAAACTTACCCAATCATAATAGTAACCATTGTAACTTCTTCTACCGCACTCTATTTGAAAATCGTTATTGACTCCTAATTGTGTTTCTTTGTTTTTGCAAGGCTGTCCTGATTCCCACAGAAAATGACATTTTCCTTGAAAAGGAACAATTCCGTCTATGCGACACGGATTCTTTTGACATGTTGCCATATATTTTCCAGGTGATAAAACGAAGTAATATCCAGATGGACAAGGACCTTGTCTGTAGGCATCGTAGCAAAAATTATCTTCAAGGTGATATAAAAATGTATCATCACAATCACAATACTGTTGGGTACTATTTTCATTGACCAAAAAAAATGTCATATGTTTTGGACATTTTTTCGGATTTGGCTACAAACAAAAAAGTTTCTAATGGTAATTTTAATATGCTTAAATAATAATAGTAGTTTTAGTTTCTCAATATTAAAAAAATATTTTCTTGATTATTTTAGAATCGTGATATAACAGGTGTTGATGAAGAGCTTATTAGAAGCTTTGCTACGATTTTAAAGACAATTTCCAGTGGATTCAGTATCAATATTGATGCGTTTGAAAAATATTGCTCTAAAACAGCAGAACTTTATGTAAAGAAGTATAAGTGGTATCACATGCCACAAAGTATCCACAAGCTACTTATTCATGGTCCAAGAATAATAAAAGAAGCTGTAAATATTATAAAAACTTTAGGGAATATCACACCCGAAAATTTTCCAGAAGTGATACAATGAGTGACTTGATAAACATGAACTTACTACTTTCTTCAGATCGTCGCATAACCAGTCTTTGAGTTGAGAAACCAAAGAAAAGCGATAGCATTTCACCTGATGTATTGCGACTTTTAGAGAATTTTGAAATTAATCAAGATGACGAAAACGATGATGATTAAAAGTTAATATTTTTTTGACGTCACTTCAGTCAAATGTAACTATTTTTAATTTTTATAGTTATTATGATAGTTTTATCATTTAAAGTTTTAACATCTTCTTTGATGTTTTAAGATTGTTGCTGTTTTTTAACTTATTTATACTTTAAACAATAAATTCTAATTCTCATATTCAAAAATTGATACCTTTGGAATTTTTTATTTTTAGGGAAATTAATAAGAACACTGTATAATCAGCAGCCACAGAAGTTTCCAAAGCTAAGTTTTTATTTAAACCCATCTACTTTTTAACAATTCATTAACCATATTTATTCAATTAAATCCACGACATTTAATTGTTAAAAACCAACATCACATTCCTAATCAGCAACCTCGAAAACCTCAAGATACCAAATTTCATACAAATCAGATATTTTTTGAAAAACTTGTTCGCCATATTGGATCCGCCATTTTAAATTTTTGAAAACCAACATCAGATTTGTAATCAACGTCCCCGAAAAACCCCTAGATACCGAGCTTCATAGGCATCGACTATTTTTTTCTAAATTGTCCGTCACATTGGATCCGCCATTTTGAATTTTGGAAAACCAACGTCAGATTCGTAATCAGTGACCCCAAAAACTCCTAGCTATAAATTGTCATGAAAATTCATTTAAAACATTTTGAGCTACGACTTTTGTCTAGCTAGATTTGCGATTTGTTCCACTGTGCGACAGTGCGTTAAATTCTTACGTATTTTTATTGTATTAACAGTTTGATTTGAAAACTTGATAAATGATAAATTCATCTTACATGTAAAATAATGTTTTACAGAGTGGTAAATTCTATTTCTAATTTAAATTCTTTATTTTGAAGTTGGATGTTAATTGAAAAAAAACAAAATTTTTACCATAATTAAAAAATGTTGACTAAAACTTTATTGCAAACAAGCCATGTTGAACAATACAAAAATAATTAACTGCAAAATTAATTAAAAATATATGGGGCATTTTCAGTAAAAGTTTCACCCAAAAAATTTTTTGTATTAAAACCATATTTTTTTCGAATTCTATATGAAAAATAAGTAAATATGTGTTTTTTTATTTTTTTATTTGATCAAAATTATAAAAGTTATGATTTTTTTAAATTTAACATCTTCGGAAGCAAAGGATTTTTGAAACACTTTTATCTCCGTTATACCAAAAGATAAAAAATAATGTAATATATGAAAATGACTTGTTTTTTCTTGAATATTTCAAATATGTAATAAAAAACAACTTTAATAAAGCGAAAACATTAAATAAATTGAAATTTCGTCTAAATTGTGACTTTTCTTAAAAGCGAAGTAATTGATTTTCAATTTTTTTCTTTCATTACAACCACTGATAAATAAAGAAATTTTTCCTACTTATGCCAAAGTGGTGTTCTTTAGGGTTCAAATTATACACGGAAAAAATTTTAGGTGACGGGCCGTTCCAAGTAGACCGAAAATTTACGAATGCGATACGACTTTAGTTTGGAGGAGCTGCATTTCTAACTCGGGCGTGCTGAGCGCCCAAGATGCGGCTATTGCAGGCAGTCTCAAGATTTTGAGTCTCAAATCTTGGGTGTTCAGCGACACCGACATAGGAACGTAGATTTTTCGAATTGAGAACGTAGCACATCCAAACTATAGTTCCTCCACTTTCCGACGATTGAGATTGCACGGTACTCAACATTTTTTCAGTGTATTTAAAATTATATCAGTCGTTGCACAGATTTTACAGAAGCAGGCGCGGATCCACGATGGGGTGAAAGGGGCGATCGCCCCCCCAAACACACTTACTCACAGTGTAATGTTAGGTATTAATATATCTATGCCTTCATTACTATAAGGTTTTAATTTACGAATCGCCCCCCCCCCCAAATTTGCTTCTGAATCCGAGCCTGTACAGAAGGAAATTGAGAAATTAACCACAAAACATTCGTTTTCTTTTGTTTTTGAAGGTTAAATTTTGAAAAAGTGTAAAAATCGAATAAAACTCTGTGCAACTACTGACATAATTTTAAATATAATTTGAACCCTAAAGAACACCACTTTGTCATAAGTGGGAAAAATTTCTATATTTATCAGTGGTTGTAATGGAAGAAAAAATCGAAAATCAATTACTTCGCTTTTGAGAAAACTCACAATTTAGACGAAATTTCAATTTATTTCATGTTTTCGCTTTATTAAAGTTATTTTTTATTACATATTTGAAATATTCAAGAAAAAACAAGTCATTTTCATATATTACATTATTTTTTACCTTTTGGTATAACGGGGTTAAAAGTGTTTTAAAAATCCTTTGCTTCCGAAGATGTTAAATTTAAAAAAATCATAACTTTTATAATTTTGATCAAATAAAAAAATAAAAAAACACGTATTTACTTATTTTTCATATATAATTCGAAAAAAATTGTTTTAATGCAAAAAAATTTTTGAGTGAAACTTTTACTGAAGATGCCCCATATCCATTTAAGACTAGAAATAATTCCATTTATTTAATAAGTAATTAATATATACAATATCTGTAAATAAATTTTATTGCTTACCGAATTTAAGTCACTTGAAATTTGGTAGAAAAGAGGCAGGAAAATACTGATTAAAAAAAATAATTTCATTTTAATTTCGCTTATTAACAAACAGTTCTTAAGTTAATTTTTTAAATTAAATTTTCCTTCAATTTTGTTGATCAGTGATAGATCAGTGATAGACAAGAAAGTGAAGGTACATTTTGTATATCCATTTATATATTAACGAAGACTCTGCAAATCTGTTGGTAAAATTGCATGCTTCATTATTCAAGGAAAACCGGTATTTTATCCGAAAAAATAGAAAAATTACTTAATTGTGTTTTAATAGTTTTTATAATTCCCTACTGAACTTAATTTTTGCGTTGAATAAGAGATAAATCATTCATAATTTTTCATCTCTTAACATGTATAATTTTACAAAATTAAAGTTAAATATATTATAGTTTATAATAGAATATTCGGATTATCATTACTTCCTCATAGGAAGAATTGTTTTAGTGATAATTTTTAACTAACTTTTTGATTGATTTTGGTCTTTTTTAACCTCAGGTACTCAAAAATCGTGTTTAAAAAAAATTTCCGATGCTTTGGCATATATCTCTGAAACTATTAAAGCTACAGAAAATTTTTTTTTACTAATTTGCAGATCTTCTTTTTGGGGACAACTTATATAAATAGTTTGAACGAAATATTAGAATTATTTTTGTAAGTTTGCCCAAAACTTTTACAAAATATTATTTTAAAATTATTTTTCAAATATTTTTATATTATTTCGTAGATTTTTTAAGGCGCTTTTTTTGATTTATTAGCGAACATTGTACAATAATTTTATCTAGAGTTTTTGAAAAACATTAAATACAAAATTATTTTCTACCACCGATATATTGACGATACTTTAATATGCTTACCAAAAAATAAAATAAATACTTTTTTTGATAAATTCAACTCAATAGACGAAAAAATAAAATTCACTTTGGAAGAAGCAACAAACAATAACATCAATTTCCTAGACTTAACGTTGTATATAGAAAACAATAAAATAATTACAAATTGGTTCAGAAAACAAATATGGTCAGGACGATACATAAATTACGATTCTGAACATTGCTTAAAATATAAATTAAGTATTGTCATAGCTCTAGTTGATCGCGCGATCAATTTAGCAGACGAAAAGTTTCATAAAGAAATTCTTATAATCGTTAAAGAAACTCTTCTAAAAAATGGTTTTCCAATCGACATACTAAACAAAAAAATTAAATCAAACTATCATAAAAGAAAATTTCTTGAAATGATATATATAGTAAAAAAAATATTCAATAAATTTTAAAACAGATATTGAAAAGTTAGGTAACATCTACCAGGGTTTTTTAAATAATGTATAATAATATAACACAGTACTCTACATTATTAACATCTATACAATCTCTATTAGTATTAAAATCCCTAAATCTTTATCAAATTAATATCTGAATTTTATGTATTATCACTATCTACAACATAGGGATGAAAAAAATCATTCTTTTAAATTTTAATTTAAAAAAATGTTTGTTATTTAAACCACAATAATATAACAATTATTTTATTTTACAATAACTTAACTATCCTCATGACAATGTTTTATGTAAGTATAAACTTTTTCTGAATGTAATTATATATAAAAGTAAAAAAAAATTATAAAATAAAATATTACCTAAAAAAAATTTCAGTGCTTTTAATGTAAACGTTGTTTAACGACAAGAACCAATAAACAAATAATTGTGGTAAAAAATTGGCCTAAAAATTACTTAAATTAATAAAACATACATGATTTTTTTTAGAAAAAATGTCAGCTTTCCAATAAAAATAAAATTTTTAAAATACCCATTCAGGTAAAAATTAAAAAATAAACTTCATTTTTTAGAAAAAGAGGGTTAAAATTTTTTTTTAATTTTTAGAAAGTACATGAAAAATGCTTTAAATTTATTACCGACACATTTAAATCGATAAAGTTTTATAAATGTTATATGGTTTTGAAAGTGTCAGTGTTAGTTAAAATGGCAAAATATAACCCCAACTACTTTTTACAATTTGTATTTAAAAGAGCTAATATTTTACAAATGTATTACTATATCATATCACGGTTGGCTGGAAAACATTTTAACCCTAAAGTTGCATTTCTTTGAAAGATTCCTATTGAAACTTGTTCGTGGTCCTTCACTGACCATTTTTCATAAATATAACCAAAATCTTGGAAAAAAAAAATGTTTAACACAAGGACGAAGATTTTTTTAATAAAAATTGTCTGTTTGGTTAACCAGAAAATTAATAATACCAATATTTGTATTTTCTGCATTGCATTTATATTTCAAATAATTAATACATTTTTCTATTTATTTTCAAAAAATTTTAAATCCCAGGATTCTTAGTGAAGAAAGGAAAAGAAGCGATTAGATATTAAATTGTCATTTTAAAAACAAAAAAAATCCATTTCATTGCATTTTTTGTTAAAAATGCAATTTTCTAATTATTGTTAATAATTAGAAAAAGCAACATTCCCACAGATATCCATATGCAGATTCGCAAACATCTCTAGAGAGTTTCCCCTTCCCACATGGAGCACTGCTTCTGGTACGACAGTATCCCTTACCATTAGCGCAATTTGGGGCCCCTCGTCCTGAAATTTGAGATTAAATTTACATAATTTAATATTTTTATTAAAAAATTTTATCCGAAATATTAAATAATACATAAAAGAAATTGGAAGAAAACTTTAATTAATTATCAGCATTAAACAAAAAATGACTTTCGATGACAAACAGCGGATTCTAAAGTTCATTATTAGTACTTCCTTTTACTTTAAATTTAAAATTAGAACAGAAAATTTAGAAAACATTAAAAATAATTGTTTTTTGTATACAAAATTTTTCAGGTATTTTGAATCATTACGCTTTTGTTCCCTTATTATACTAAAATTTTCTGACAAAATATAGAGATGAAATTTCTATTTTCTTGTGTTATAATTAATGTTAATTATGTTTAATTTCTTATTTATTCAGTGGAATTTTTTTTCATTATTTTTACAAAAAAAATAAAAAATAAGAACAATAATAAACAAAAGAAAAATTGGACAAGTGCGAGTTGTACTCGCACTGTAATGGCGGGTTCCGCACACAAATATTAAAACAATACTTGCAACATTGATCGGTAATTAGTAGAATTAAAATAAACAATTAAAAAAATATATTAAAATCATTTGATAAGAAGAAATAACTAAAAAAAATTAAAGTATTGTATATCAAATATTGTAAATAATAATAAGCAGAGGAACAAAATTTTCAAAATTATAGTTCCTCTGCTTATTATTGTTTACAATATTAGATATACATAAAGTGACTATATTGAAATAATGTCAATGCGGGACGACCGCTTATTTATATCATTTAGTAAAAAAAAGGAACAGGGAATTTGTAGGAGTAAATTGGAGAGGAATTGAAACAGCGCGCGTCTTATGACATTTACATTATTTATAATATTATGCTTATTTTGTAACATTAAATCACATATTTTTCTGACGATTGAATTTTTCTTAAAATATCACAAAGTCTATCTTTCTCACACTTATACGCTACTGTGCTAACCTGTAGATGCAGGATATTCTTAAATATTTTCCGGGATATGCAGGACATTTTATGTCAAATGCGGGACGTTTTGCGGGACGCTAGTCTTTGCGGGACAAAGTGAAAAAATCCGGGACAGTCCCGCACAATCCGGGACGTATGGTCACTTTAGATATACAATACTTTAATTTTTTTTAGTTATTTTTTTATCAAATGATTCATCCATGTCGAATCCATGTCATCCATGTCAAATAGTTTAGAAGTTAAGGGGGGGGGATGGTCACTTTTTATGCATTTTTGGCCAAAAATCTTGTTATTTCCTTGACAACGCTATGCCCATCACGTCCAATCACATTCGCTATATGTTTCCTGTAATCTACGAGTGAAAATACATATCTGGGCCAAATTTGAGCTCTGTAGGTCAAATAGTTTAGCTGCTAGGGGGGGACACGATTTGGCTACGGACGCAAGAGTCTCACCAATAGGGTTCTGCCGTTACACCGTAGGTGTACGGAACCCTAAAAATACAAAAATATCGAAACAAGAAAAAAGTTTAATTACAAATAAAATCGTAATTAATTAATTTAAAGAAATTAAATTTAATTCTAGTTTATTTTCTTTTGTTGGAAGAGAAAAATGTGTTTATTTTATATACAAAAATGTCAATTAAATTTCAAACAAATGATAATATATTATCAAAAATATATACTTTAAATTATTTATTATAAAAAATAAATAAATTTCAAATAACTTTGAAAATGAAGCAAAACAATACTTTAATAAATTAATTTTTTCGATTTTTGGAAGACGTATATAAAAGGTAAAAGAAAAACACTCTTTTACTTTTTTATAAAATAGACGACGTTTAAAAAAAAGTATACGTCTTCCAAAAATCGAAAAAATTAATTTATTAAATAACTGTGGAAGAATTTACTAAATATTTAAAACAATACTTTCATAAGCCATATTGATTATCAATTTTGAATATTTTTTATACTGTATTTACAAAAATATAATGTCGTTAGTATAACAGAAACTTTAATTATAAGCGTTAGAAAAGTTTAAAAACTTGCCTTCTATCAGGAGAATCATTCCACCTACTAGTAGAAGTAATAGAATCATAAATAATGAAGAGAATTTCATTCTTCTTTTTGAATTATTTTAGGTTTTATTGGCTTGTAGTTTATAATGATGTAAAAATTGATTCGAAGTAAATTGTTATATATACACCTGCAATGAAAGACGTGGCATAACAAACTATCTATAATAAACCAGTAATAAATTACATTGGAATTTATTGCTATCTCTTCTAATTAATAACAAATGGATGAAAAAAGCGATGAAGTAATTTTAAAGAAATAAAGTATTCATTACTACAGATAAACAAAATTTTAATAAGATGCTTGCGACATTTTGATAAAAGTTTTGAAATTGAAATTCATATTTTGACAAACAGTTTTAATTTATTTAGGACTGTAATAATTATTAGTTACTTGTAAGTCACTTGTCAAGTAAGTTTTATTGAAATTGTAACTTCTATTTTATTAAAAACTTATAGTGGTGCAATTCTTAA